TGAAATTCTTTTTAAAAAAAAAAAAAAAAAGACTCCATATTACTACTAAAGCTAAGTTTTTAAGCACCAAAGTTTTTATTTCAACTATTTCAGACAGCAAATACTGCCTATCTTCTGACTATTAAGCAAAAACTACTTAACCTTTCTTTGCTTACTCAGGGTCACTATTATGTACATCCAGTACTGTCAAATCTGTCAGTCATAGGTCCAAGCCTGCTTTTCAGTTTCCCAGTTTCCTCCCTCCATTGTTAGGCTAGGATATCAATTGTTACTTTTTTGTGCCCAAGTGTCTACTTCTAACAGCATCTCCTGTTCTATGTCAACTTTCTCCTATCAGCTGACAAAACCAAATAATGGAATTTGTTAAAAGTATTTGTTGATTCAGGCACCATGTGAATTCTGAGAACAATGTTAGACATAAAGCACCTAGTTTCGGTATAGGGCACTGTAGTGTTGTCACATTTTTGAAGAGTATTTCAAATATATTTTATGTGACCCCAGTAAAAATGGCAGGGGTATATTTACATAAATAATTTCAATCTTCAGTTCTTTGTCACACCCATTTTGTGTTATCAGTTCAATTTTCAAGAATTCTCATTAAAATTATAAAAACTGGTTAACTTTAGGTGAATGAAAGTATGAGTGCATTTTATTTCTTCTTTATGGTTACATATATTTTCCATTTCTTAATGACTACCTATGTTTGTAAGAAACCTACATTATATTTCATTTCAAAAACTTTACCAACTAGAACTAACAAATTTGCATCAACAACTCTATAAAAATTCTAAACTGTGAAAAATCTGCAAGAAGGAAATGTAAGTACTTCACTCACTTATTAGCAAGCAGATACAAACTGATTTTGATTATTCAAGGTTGTTAGCAGTTTTCCTCCTCTGGATCACTACGTTCTCTGCCACATGTGACGGACACATCTGGACAATGAACCAGTATGGATAAACTGAACAAGCTCTCCATACAGCATGGCAGTTGTCAAGAGCAGACGACTAAAAGCAATTACGATGAGCAAGCTAGATTTTAGAGACTACTCTCAAACAGCCAAACTTTTCCCTTCTTTCTCATTTCCCTGTACTTTTTCAGACACATCCTAGTTGTCTGTGGTTTAGGTGTGTGTGGGGAGGGGTCTGTGGTTTAGGGTGTGTGTATGTGGTCTGTGTTTTAGGGTGTGTGTGTGTGTGTGTGTGTGATTGCACTTCCTTAACTTAAGAAGTTTTGTGTATCTATTTGTTATTGTATTTTACTACTAATCTCTGCCTTGGCCTTCCAGGTGGTATTTTTCTCTACAAACATCACTGCTTTGACATTTACATTTGTACTCTCTTCTAACCTTCGAAACTGTGATACAGTGGGAGAAGCACTGAAAAGTTAAGAGCATTGAAAAGTTTGAGCCCCAGCAATATTACTGTGTGACTGAAGAAGATTCAAGTAACCTCTTCAGAGGCCCAGTCACAGTGCAGGAAAGTGTCACACAAACACATAATAAAGTGCTACATGAACATAAGCATTATTGCTATTTTCCTAATTTTTTTCTCCTAATCTTCATCATTCTTGCTAATACTTTTCCCCAACATTTCAAAATCTGCTACTTTGCATCTGCTGTTGATCCTATGGCTTCTGAGTTTTAGAAACACTAGTCACTGTAGTTTCTGCTCCTACAACACAATCTTAAAACCTAGGTTTTAGAGTCAGAGACAGCTAAGCTAAAATCCGGGCTCCAAATAAATGACTAGGTGATCTCCTGAAGGCACAGTACCTGACCTTTCTAAACATTTTCTTAATTGTAATATGAGAGAAGTGATAGCATAGGGTTGTTAAGATTAAATGACATCATATATATAAAGTACTTAGCTCAGTGCTTAATAATTGTTAAAGCCACTTTTCTATTTCTTCTTACAAATGGTACACAGATTATTAGCATTATTCTAAATATCAGAAAGTAAAAGTCTGGCAGATTCAGATGAAAAAACCCTTTTTATGATGAGAAACAACAAATGGTCTATAGATAATTGTCCTAATGAAAAATTATATAACACACATTTAATTTTCATTGAAGGCCACTACCTATAAACAATTTGCTGTTTCTAGCTCATCATAAAGATATACATGCTATATATTTAATAGACATATATTTCATATATGTGTATATATAAAAAACACACTATCTGTCATTACCCAGTAATGTCAGAGTTACATTTCTTAAATTTGATGTGCAAAAATGCTACCTTATCATTTCCTTGATTATCAATGAAGACTTCTTTATTGGCCATTCCATTTTCCACTTCTGTGAACTATTCATATCCTTTGTGCATACTTTTGTCGTCTTTTTATTGAGTTTTGTGTGTATATTTGTTTCTATGACATCATTCTTAAAAGTTAATTTTCATAATAAAAGTTCAAGCTATTCTGTGGCTTCTAAATTATAAGGGGTTTCCATTAGCAATCAGTCACAACCAGATTCTAATTAATATTTAAGGAAGGTAGCATACTGGTGCTGTAGTAGCCACGTATCAGCATCACAAGCACAGTGGTAATTTATGTCATCCTGAATAACTTACCTATAAACACCAGCACTAAAGCCCCCCACTTTGTATCTAATGTGTACTTGGAAATTTAAATTATTTCAAAGAATCTTAATTAAAACTTGGAAATCAAACTTGCAACAACGGTTTCCTCATTATGCCTCAATGTTACATTGAATATGTGTTATATAACCATTTCAGTGAATTCTTTGGAGTTCATTATAAATTCTTTTTTCATTATATGGGTTGGCAATAATCTTCCCCAATTCTGTGGTTTAGCTTCTCATTTCACTTATGGTTATTCTGTTATACATTATCTTGAATTTTAATATAGTCAAGTGTATCATTTTCCTCTTGTACTTTATGCTTTTGTTGTCTTAAGAAATGTTTCCTGCCTCAAGCCCTAATTATAAACTTCTATCCTTTCTTCTAAAAGTTTGAAAAATTTGCTTTCCATACTTAGATCTTTAATCCATCTGGAACTGATTGTGTGCAGTGTAAGATAAGGACGTCATTTTACTTTTTTCAACACAAATAACTAATTGTCCCAGCAATATCTTTTCATCTCTGATTTTTAAAGCACCTCTGGTTATATACCAAGTTTCCAAATATATGTGAATGTGTTTCTGAGCTTTCTAGTCTGTTCCATTAGTCTACTTATATTTTTAACCATAAACATGTATTATTTTTATAATATAACACAAAGTCTATGTTGAAAGGATATAAAAGGACTGTGAAGAACAGAAGGTAAAGGAACAAACATTTAGCCCAACAATTTCAGAAAACTTAAATTCTCGAACGGCAGACTAGCAGTCCACGAGCTTTAGTTCTACACAGAACTCTATGAGCAATTGTGAAGTAAGGCACTGTAGAAGGAAACTACACAGCAGTCACAAACTCCTAGTGCGACAGAAGAGTTGTAAATAGAATAGTACACACAGTCACTGAAGTATGGCATACTGCTTATTTTTTACAAAGGTATAAATATGCTCCTGCTATTGGTTTTTTCTTAAATCCTCATCTGAGGATATGTTTCTATTGATTTTAAAGAGAGAGGAAGGGCGAGGGGGGGACATCAAGAGAGAAACATCAATAGGTTGCATCCCATACACGACCATCTGGGGGACTGAACTCAAAATCTAGGTTTGTGCCCTGACTGGGAAATGAACCTGCGACCTTTTGGTGTACAGGACGATGCTCCAACTGAGCCTCCTGCCAGGGCTGCTCCTGCTACTGGTTTTTAACCATCCCCCACCAGAAGCACCTGTACACACGCACGTGCGCGCGCGCACACACACACACACTCTCTCTCAACTTCAGTAAGAAACCATACTTAGGACATAAGTTAAATGGGATTTTAAAAAATAACAAAAATGAATTCTTAAGAACTTCAGTGGCAAACTTGAGATATCACAACAGAACTTAAGTTTAATTTTACTAACATACAATTACACGCTATTTCCTACCCTTGTGAACTTAGAGCACATTTCCTCTGCTTCTTTTATCATATTTGCTCGAAGCATATATTTTGCACATTTGGAATTGATGAATCTATCGGCCGTGTCTAAAGACTGTGCTTCATCCATCCACTTTGCAGCTTCTTTGAGATTACCTATATGCTTTAAAAGATGAAAGTATTAAAAGAAATTATAGTTTAAGAGAATATGGGTGTAATACAAACAGCAACAGTTTATAAAGACAAATTAGAACTTTGGTACCATTTCTGCAAAATTTATCTAGAAATCTGTAAATTAAATTTCACATTTAGTAAGAGCTGAATCAAATGAGTAACACTGAGTATAAAAATATGCAACCTAAAGCGCTTTAGGATTATTAGTATTAGAAACAGATTATCAGGGTGCCATAAAAGTTATTTCTACACAGAAATAACTCTGAGGGTTCTTAAGTGGCTAAATTTTCAATTATTCAAAAAACATGTCTAGGATTTTACCTTGTAAATTTTTGCTTTCATATAGAATAATTCTATTAGAGTTGGAGTATTAGCAATTGCAGCATTAATATATTCCAAAGCCAAAGAATATTGCCCAAGTTTATCAAAGTGCTGTGCCAGGAAATACTGAACCCAGAGTAGTGTTGTTGGGGGTTCCTTCTCGCCATTCTCTGCAATCAAACAAATACAAAATTATTACAGGGAAGAAGACAAAGTAAAGGATATAACATACTTTCTCTCCCCCAAAGCATAATGAAATAAATAATTATTACAATAATAAACAGTAAAAACCCAGCAAAAATGACCAATTTCAACAGAAAGAGGTATGACTTCCTGTGATCAAGTTCAAAAAGTGGCAGCCAAGCAGAGAAATAAAATACTAGTTTCATAGGCTTCTAACTCCTACCTCACTCCAAAGAAACAGTGCTGAGGAAAGAAGGTAAATCAATCTAACTATGAATTCTCAAGGCTGGGAGTGTAAGACAGCAGACCCAGGAAAAGTCAAGGAAAATGGCTTGGAGAAAAGATGACCCTAACTACCACTGCAAGATTTCCATAAAGGCAAGAGCTGCCAGGGCTTATCACTGTCTAGGTCTCAAAGCTAAATCAGGGAAACCCAAAATTGACGATATGAAGAAGATACATTCCTGACAAGGCAGAAGTAACCCTATGTGAGGCAAAAGCACTCACATTCAGTAAGCTATTCCCAGTCTTGTACCCTCAAGCTACAACAGAGTAGACAAAGAAATAAATACCAAGCTCTCAAAATAGATTTCAGAAGGGAAGACCTACAGGTATAAAATGAGGAAGAAAGAGCGAAAAAGAGAATTTACCCATACTACATCAAAAAACACAGGTCTTCTAGACTAGCTGACCAAATAAAGTGACAATATGCAAACACACAAATTAGTATAAATTAAAACACAAATAATCAAAAAAAGGCAAAGAGTCCAGCATTTATCTTGTTCCTCTCCCATAAACTATAGTTCAGGGGAACTGAATATTTGATGAATGCAAGTTCTTTACAAGAAGATTTCTAACTAATAAATACAGAAGAAATGATGATTTGAATGAAACAAGGGATTGGGGCAAAGACTCTCAGTGACTGCTGCAATCATTAGGTGAGAGGCCAATGAGGACTCTTTAATGGGCAGATCAGGCTGACAGTGTCTGAACCCTGACCAACCTTAACGTCACAAAAAAAGAGACAAAGAGAATGTCATCTGCCTCCAGTTGTGATATAACAGGAAGTACAGTGCATCACATATGAAGTATTCAAAGGGAACCCAAATCTAACCAAGCCTGTAAATCTAACTATCAGTTTACAAGAAATATGGATGACAGCAAAATATATTAAATGATACCATGAGAAAGCAAATCAGCCAAATCCAGAATATGGGACATTCCACAAGACAAATAACCTTTCAACAAATAACATTTCTTTAAAAGGGAGAGGAGGGCACTACTCAAGATTAAAAGAGTATCAGAGATATAAAAATCAAGTGTGGACTTTAGTTGGATCCAGATTCAAATAAACAAATTATACTAAGACTTAAGATAATCACGGAAATTTGCATGTACACTAGGTGTTAGATATTACGGTATGAGAATTAATTTTATGTGAGATAGCACTGTGGTTATGTGTTAAGTGTTTTAAACAGCTAGCGATGCACACTAAAGTACTAACAAGTAAAAGAGTATGTCTGCTTTAAAAATACTCCAGAAAGCCCTAGCGGTTTTGCTCAGTGGTTAGAGCGTCAGCCCTCAGAGTGAAGAATCCTGGGTTTGATTCCAGCCAAGGGCACATACCTCGGTTGCAGGCTCGATCCCTGGCCCTGGTTGGGGCGCATGCGGGAGGCTACCCATCAATATGTCTCTCTTACATCAATGTTTCTCTCTCTCTCTCTCTCCCTTCCACTCTCTCTAAAAGCAATGAAAAAATTATCCTCAGGTGAGGATAAAAATAAATAAAAAATAAAAAATAAAAGTGTCTACAAATTTAAAAATAATTTAGTAAATAAATAAAAATACTCTAGAAAAAGAAGTAGACAGAAGGTACTTCAAATAAGACCGGCAAGATGTTCATAACAAAAGCTAGGTGATGGGGACCCAAGGATTCCTTAAATCTATTTACTTCTGTGTCTGTTATTTTATACGGAATTTGTTTCAAACTAACAAAAACAAAGGAGCAATGACATGTAAAAGACATATGAAGAAACCAGACTAAAGTTACCGTCTGCATGACTGAAAGCAATCTAGAGTGTTTTCTAAAGTTGCCTTGATTTACCTATGTACCTACAAACTGAGAAACAAAGAACCAAATTATACAGGACTTAAAGTATATTTTTTAAAAAAAGAGAAGCAGAGATTCAGTAATAATGCACTACAATATAAACTAACTGCATCATCTTTGGCAAGCCACTCAGTCTCTCAAGTTTATTTACTCCTGTTAAAATAGGGTTTACTCCAAACTCACATTTATGGAAAATTTAAATTAAATAAAACTGAAGTGCTCTTTGTATTTCATTCACTAACTCAAAAACTTTTTCGTAAGTAGCTATAAAGTGGCATGTACATAATAAACATGACAATTTTACTGTAAGTGATTAAAAATGGATTAAAATGAGTACTCATATTCCAAATGAATCTAATTTAAACTTACCATAAGGACTAAAAAAGTCACACGTTTTAAGGGAGGCTTCATAATTAGTAACAAGCTCCTGGATTACAGAAATCTGTTAAGGAAACATAGTTTAAAATGTTTTAAATATTTTATTGAAGATATTTATATATATTGTGAATTAAATTAGATTTGGAAACAAGATACAGCTTATTTCAAAATTATAAATTAACTAAGCTACTAGGGTGTCTGCACTTTCCCCATCCCGATCATTAGTTTCAGGTTTTGAAGGACAAATTATCACTAGTTACCACAAAACTTTTTCCCCCTCAATAAACACATCTGTATAATTTATTATTAACAGTTAATTTATTTGCTTTTTGCTTCTCGCTGTTTTATTGGGAAGTTGTAGGCCATTATATATTCAAATTTTCTAAAATGTCACCCATCATAAAAAAGTTAAATGAAATTGATACAAATTATACAGTGAGTTGATGGAAGAAGAGGTTAAGTAAACTCCTAACTAGATGTTTAAACTACCATTGTTTTTTAATGATCACTTTAGTAAACAGATTTGAATATCAATGCTACTCAGGTAGAAAAAATATATTATAAACTGCACTACAAATGTGCTATGCCCTGAAAGTGCCAAATGAAAAGTGACATAAATTAGAAGTGGCAACAGGAAAAAAAACTGCTTATATGTACTGTTGGTATTAAATGCCTATTGATGTTAATTGTTCAGAATAAGTTGGGAAATATAACCATCTTATTTGTGAACTCCAAAAAAACAAAGGTCAAAAGTGAAGGAAAACCATTAAAAGTTTTAATAGTGTCTGACGAATATGGTATTGTTTTAATAGTGAAAACTTGAAAGTTTTCTAGTTTTATAAAGTGGGATGCTACTAATACCACCAGAAAAAAGAATATACCAGACAGAGTAACAATAACAGTAATAAGCCATTAGTTGTCATTAACTGCTTTATACATGTAAAGGAAAAATAAAAATATGCTGAAAGCACACAATGGCAGAACCAGCGCTGAACCCAAGCAACAAGGCTCCAGAGGTTAGCTTTTAACTACTCTGCTATATTGGTCACTGGTGTCCCTGGAACATTTATTACTAAAGGGCAATTCTCTTTGACTCACAGGGTTACACTAAGAATAGAAACCATTAACAGGACAGTAACCCTTCCCCTATCATTTTTAGTGCACAGAGCACCACCTGGTACACATTAAGTCAGCCAGATCATAAAAAATATACCAAGTACACCAAAATTTGGAAAGGTTAAACTTTAAACATGCACGCATGCGCTCTCTGGGAAGACACCAGGGAAGGACAAGTATGTGAGAGAGGAAAAAAGTAAGAGAAGGTTTGGGAGGGACAAACTTACTGTACTTTATGTGGCATTAAGCAACGTATTTACACATACACATTTACAAATTGAGTTTCCAGAGAATCTTCTGGAGGACTTTAAAGGATAGATCAACAGCAATATAGTCATAGTAGGGGACTTTAACACCCCACTGACTTTACTGGATAGGTCTTCCAGACAAAAAGTCAACAAGGAAACAGTGACTCTAAATGGCACACTAGATCAGATGGATTTAACTGACATGTAAAGAACATTTCACCCCAAAGCTGCAGAATACACATTCTTTTCAAGTGTACATGGGACATTCTCAAAGACAGACCACATGCTAGAACACAAAACAAGTCTCTAAAAGTCCAAGAAGAATGAAATCATATCAAGCACCTTCTCGGACATTTACACCATGTAATATTATGCAGCTATAAAAATGAAGGATCCCTTACTCTTTGAGACAGCATAGTGGGACCTGGAAAATATTATGCTAAGCAAAACAAGCGAGTCAGAGAAAGACAAGTGTTACATGATCTTACTCATATGTGGAATCTAATGAATAAAATAAATTGATGAACAAAACAGGTCCACAGACATAAAAGCATGGAACAGACTGATGAATATCAGAGGGAAGGCAGAGGTGGGGGTGGGTGGGGAGAGAATAACCTAAGAACTTATATGTATATATGCATAACCCACGGACACAGACAATAGCGTGGTGAAGGCATGAGGAGGGGGGTGGTGTAGGGCGGAGGGGATCAATAGGGGGAAAAAGAGGACATTTGTAATACTTTCAACAATAGAGATAAATTTTTTAAAAGAATAAACACATGAAAACTAAGGGAGAAAAAAAATTTTCTAGGCTTAAAAATTACTCAGAGTTCAATTTATAGAGCCAAATATCTTTTCATGAACTTACACTGCCATCTACTGGCAGTTGCAAAAACTGCAGCTACAGTGGTTTTAAACATAGCCTGGCAGGAATGGCTTGGAGGTTGAGCACCCACCTATGATACAGGAGATCGAGGTTCGATTCCCCGTCAGGGCACATGCCGAGTTGCGGCCTCGATCCCCAGCAGGGGGCATGCAGGAGGCAGCCGATTAATGACCCTCTCTCATCAGTGACATTTCTATCTCTCTCCCTCTCCCTTCCTCTCTCTGAAGTCAATAAAGATATATTTAAAAATAAAAAAATAAATAAGGGTATATACCTTTGCCTTTCTAGGGTGAAATATTTTTAAAGTCAGTTCAATAATAAAACAAAGTACAACAAAACATACTGAGGTTACATATAATTCTTTATAAAAAAGAGTATAACCACTACTGGCTAAAATAAATCTTCAGCTTCAGAACTTCAAAACAAGATTTGATTGAGGAAAAATCAAGATAATGGAAAGCCCACCAAAATCTCCTAAATAAAAAAATTGCAAGGAACACTGGCCTCTTTGGTTCATTAAGCATATTTCTTGAATCTAAAAACTTTCTATCATAGTCATTAATTCAGTAATTAAATAAACAATTCCATTTTTTCAAATTTGTCTATGAAAGTTAATCTAAGGATTTTTACTAATGTATAAGGACACATATTTTACTTCAAGTTTAACTTAACCAATTATATCTCAATTAGAAAGTATATTCAACTCCTTTCTTGTAAAGGTTAATACATAATGGCTATTCTTCTTGAAAATAACAGTCTGCCATTGCCATTTAAAATCAAGAAAGCCAATCTACTTAAGTTAGGTATCGAAGATCACAATAAAAAAATAGCCTCAAATAGGACAGCTTAAATTATATGGCCAAAAGATTTGGAAGCCCAAGTGCCCATCAGTAGATGAGTGGATAAAAACACTGTGGTAGATTTACACAATGGAATACTACTTGGCCATAAAAAGGGGGGGCATTTAACCTTTTGCCACAGCATGGATGGACCTGGAGTATTATACAATTATGATCCAGGTGAAATAAGCCAGTCAGACAAAGACAAGTATCATACGATTTCACTTATATATGGAATCTAAAGAACAAAATTAACTAACAAACAAAATAGAAACAGACTCATCTGTCAGAGGAGAGAGGTGTTTGGGGAGGGGGGGAGAGATGAAAAAGATGAAGGGATTAAGGAGAAAAAAACACAAATAACAACAAAAAACCTCATAGATATAGACAAGTTTGGTGATTGCCAGAGGGAAAAGGGGTGGGAAGAGGCACGGAGGGTAAATGGGAGATAAGTGGTGATAGAAGGAGATTTGACTTGGGGTGGTGAACACACAAAACAATATACAGATGATGTATTATAGAACTATACACCTGAAACCTATATAATTTCATTATTCAATGTTACCTCAATAAATTCAATTAAAAAATTATATGGCCAAAATTTTCTATGTACTGAAAAAATTTCCAAGTTCAACTATCTTCTCTTAATTTAAATATTTTCTTCTGATAGTTACATTTGATCAGAATTAATGAAGCTCTATTTTTGTTAACAAAATCTAACCTGGGCAAAATATTGTGACTACCACAGATAATTTCCTAAACTATGGCCCTTAATCAGCTTTTTTAATGTACAAGTTGAAAGAAGTCTTTATTAACCTTAAAGACACAACCCTACAACACCATATAATGATACACAATTTTTGACAATATAGATACAAATCATGTTTAAAATGTTACTGCAACAGGAAAGCCATTGGAAAGATCTTTTCATTTTTTTAACCCAAATTAGAAAACTAAACATAGTGTTATCAACAAGGACAAAATTGCTGAATTTCCAATAAATGTACAATTAGCAGTGACAATTTTGGTTTCAAAGGAGCTAGTTACAGAGATAAGTTGCCCAAGAACTATGATGCTAAAATGAAATAAGTACTTTTTTACAGAGATGAGGTGTGAGGTGTGAGAAGTAGGGGTGGTGAGAATGACCAGTTCTTGAACATCATCTCTGAATCAAGCACTTTATAAACTTTACTTAAAACACACATCAACTCTTTAAGTACTATTTCCCCCACCTCCATGATCTGGAATCGAATAAGTAGTGACTCATGTAAATAAGTAATGGAATCAGGACTACAAACCAGGCCTGATTCCAAAGCAATGGTCTTTATCAAAAGTATTCCCAATATTTCCCAAAGTGTGGTACATATGATGGAATATGAAATGATTACAGTTAATGCACCAACTTAAATTTTGGTTGCATTTTTTAAATGTATTTTTAAAAAATAAACTAGCATAAACCCACGGTTTTTACAAAAAACAAGCAATCAAATTTAGTGATAAATCAACAAATTATAGGTGTTTCCCAGCAACAAAAGCCAAATAATTCAGTACCTCCCATAGAAACATTCCAATAAAGTTCGTGATGATTCTTTCTTCACTGAATAACAGGCCAAGTTTTTTACAATTCCTTGTGCCTATTGTCACAGGTTTCTAAAGGGCACACATATTTCCACACACTCTTTAACTGAATGAAGATCCTGGAATCTTTTCATGTAGGGACAGATTTAACATAAGAAAAGTTTCCTGGGAAACAGCCTACCCTACTTTCTTGTGTATGGACAGCCATACAGTACTGTTTGTTGAGACACCTGATGCTTCATCAATTCAGAGTCTGGTCAAATACTCAATTTCAATGTTGTTGAAAATTACTCATATTCAGTATACCTGTGCACTGATGTCCAGCTTCACTGGAATCAACCGCACCTGTAACAACCCACGGCAAACCCTGACGATGATTCATTGTCTGATACAGTGAATGACTACTGAAGAAAACTAGGAACTACTTTTTATATTATAGGTGAAAATGGAAGTCTAAAATTAATTTGTACCTCTTTTTACAGTCAGTTTGATTTCTTTTACAACACATACAAAAAGGAATGTATAGGCTTTGCCTTGGCAAATGAACTAAAATTAAATAAAAACTGACTTTACTAATTATCTTTCTGTGCCAAATACACATCTTTACCCTTAGAGAAAACCCATTTTTCTCACTCATTAAATCAGCAAAGTAAAAGATAAAAGTATAAAACATTAGAACATGTTAAACAAGAAACACTGAAAAAGAAAATTAAACCTAAAATAAGTAGAACAACATAATAAAGATCAGAGTGGAAATTAATGAAACGGAGGAGAGGGTCAACAAACCCAAAACTTGGTTCTCTGAAAAAATTGACAAAATGAGCAATTTTGTCAATTTAGCTACATTGACCAAGGAAAAAATGAAGACTCAAACTATTGACATTAAAAATGAAGAGACACTGCTACTGATTTTGCAGGGGGGAAAATGGTTATAAAGGAATACGATGAACAACTGCATACCAATATTGGATAACTTACATGAAATAGACAAATTTCTAGAAACACAAATTTCAGAAACCAAGTCAAAAAAGAATAGAAAATATGAGTAAACCAAACAAGAGTTTGAATACATAAACTACCCACAAAGAAAAGTGTGCGTCCAGATGGCTTCAATGGTAAATTCTACCAAACATTTCATACCAATACAAATTCTTCACAAACATAAAAATAAAATTCAGAAGAGGAGGGAACACTTCCCAACCCATTATAAGGTCATTATTGCCCTGATATCAAAATGAGACATCACAAGAACACTTTAGACCAGTATCTCTTAGAAATACAAAAATCCTCAGTTATATGCCATGAACAAGTGAGTTTTATCCCAATAACGCAAGGTTGGTCTAACATCTGAAAATCAATTAATGTAAGGCACTAATACATTAAAAAACAAAAAAACACTTGATCATCTCATGAGACACAGAAAAAAGATATGACAAAATCCAACATCCTTTCACAATAAAAACTCAATAAATGTGGAATAGAAGGGACTTCTTCAACATTATAAAGGGCATATACAAAAAAAATCCATACTTAATATTTTTAAGATTTTTTTAAAATTGATTTTGAGAGAGAGGAAAGGAGAGGGAGATAGAGAAATATTGATGTGAAATTGAAATATCAATAGGCTGACTCCTGCACGCCCCCTATGGGGGATTGAGCCCACAATCTGGAATGTGCCCTGACCTGGAATCAAACTGGCAGCCTTTCGGTGCACAGGACAATGCTCAACCAACTGAACCACACTGACCAGGACCATACTTAATATTTAATGGAGAAAGATTAGATGTTTTCCCCCTGATCGGAACAACAAAAAGATGTCCACTCTCATCAATCCTATTCGACATTGTACTTAGTGGTTCTAGCTAGGGTAATTAGTCAAGAAAATGAAATTAAAAGAATACAAAATTAAAAGGAAGAAAAAATTTTTCTATTTGCAAATGGCATGGTCTTGCACATAGTAAATCCTAAGGAATCCATTACACCAACTATAACAACTATGTTCAGCAAGGTTGAAGAATATAAGATCAATATATAAAAATCAATTGTATTTTATATACTAGCAATGATCAATCTAAAAATGAAATTAGAAAACCCATCTAAAATAGCATAAAAGAGAATAAAATTTAAAGAATAAATTAACAAAACATATACAAGACTTGCACACTGAAATCTACAAAGCACTGTTAAAAGAAATTAATGATCTAGAAGAAGGTACAAATAAGTAGAAGCATATACCTGCTCATGGATGGAAAGAATTAACTCACACAAAAACCCAAAGAACCACAGCAATCCTGAGAAAAAAGAACAAAGTTGGAGGTATCATGCTACTTGGTATCAAGCTGACTCCTGCACACCCCCTACAAGGGTATAGTAATCAAAACAGCATGGTATAGGCATAAAAACAGACACACAGATAAATGGAACAGAATACAGAGCCCAGAAATAAACTCACACCTATAAGGTCAATTAATATATGACAAAGGAGAGCACATCAAAATTACAACCAAACTACAGAAAAACCAGCATTCAGAACAGCCTGAAATCTAGGTGAATGTAAGTCCTACAACCAGGCATTTAAAGAAGACAACACACATCACTTCTCAGCTTTTTGCCTAAGATCAAGTGTAAAAAAGAAGACATATCAAGACTGGTAGGTGGGGTGAAGACACAGAATGAGCTGGTCCCACACCCACATACAGGATGTACTTGTTTATCAAACTTAATGTCTTTGAAATCCATCCTTAAGAATTAAAATGCAACCTTTAGCTAAAAACAGAAATCATCACCAGTTACAAATATGCAATTTTTTAAATTTTTTATTTATTGATATGAGAGAGAGACAGAGACCACCATCGATTTGTTGTTCCACTTATTTATGCATTCATTGGTTGGTTCTTGTAGATGCCCTGAATGGGGATTGAACCCGCAACCTTGGCGTATGGGGACGATGAACAAACTGAGCTACCTGGCCAGGGCCACAAATGTGCAAATTTTAAAATGCCTTTATAAGTAATCACAAATATATGTGGCCAAAATTATTTGAGAAGCATTTCCCATACTTGTAAATATTTCTCACTATACTAACGTTCTGATAACTTGCACTCAATTTTCAGCAGCTTAATTCAACTCTCAAAAGCACCTGGTAAAATTCCCGTAAGATGTTTAAAAATTAACACTAAAGAAATGTCAAAGGTTCCTATATAAATTAGTGCACTCTCAGTGCCTCCTTTAAAAATGTAAATTCTGCCCAGCCAATATCTCTCAGTGATTGAGCATCAATCCATGAGCCAAGAGGTCACAGGTTTGATTCCCGGTCAGGGCACATGCCCGGCTTGCGGGCTCAATCCCCAGTAGGGGGCATGTAGAAGGCAGCTGATCAATGGCTCTCTCATCACTGATGTTTCTATCTCTCTATCCCTCTCCCTAAAATCAATAAAAAAACATATTTTTAAAACAAATGTAAATTCCATGCTTTATAAAATACCAACAAATGCTTAACACCTTTGTGATGGTAACTTTGGATCAATATTGAAGGAATTTGAAAAAACAAAAACAAAACAAAACAAAAAAACAACCTATGCCCCTTGTGAAAACTGAGAAAGCCAGCTAAAGCCTAAAAGGAACAAATTCTTTAATGACTACAGTATTCAGTAGTTGCTGCAAGAGTGTGTTTGTTACAAAAGCAGTAGTCTAATTCACATACAAAAGTTCTTTATTATTTCTGACTTTCATCTCACCTTTCTTCTCTGTCACCCTTGTCAAAAAGAAAAAGGTGAATTTTGGCAAACATTAATTTAAATAACCCACAGAAATTTTTGGTAGGCACTACTACATGATTTCATAAGAATCAATCACTATCAAAAAATTGACAGCAGTACCATTACTTGTAAATTACAGTCAAATAAAGCATACAGATATTAAAGAAATGTAGTTTTTTAAAATGTAAATGACACTTTCTACTAACTGGGTCCTAGATATAATCAGTTGTCCCTTTTAGTTTATGAAACCTGCTGCCATAAGGAAGAAAGTGCCAATCAGTTATACCTATTATTGACTTTGTTTTCAACAAATTATTATTCACAAATAATTATGGGTCAAAGTTAAATAAACAAGTGATACATGTTTAACTAAAAACATTTGGACATTTCCCATAAAACCTTTTCCTTTTCCACTAGTAACTTTCAAAAATTCTGACTATAGAAAACAAAATTTTAGAATTTAATAATTAAGAAGCAATTCTTGGGCCCAGCCAGTGTGGCTCAGTGAGTGACCACTGACCCATGCATCAAGAGATCACTGGTTTGATTCTGGGTCAGGGCACATACCCGGGTTGTGGGCTGAATCCCTAGTAAAAGGCATACAGGAGGCAGCCGATAGATGTTTCTCTCTCATCGATGTTTCTCTCATCAATGTTTCTTTCTCTCTCCCTTCCTCTCTCTCTAAAATCAATAAAAACATTTTTTTTCTTTTTAATTTGGATCCCAAACTCTACTCAGAAATATTTAAAAAAAGAAAAAAAAGCAATGCTTGGAAATAGAATTACAACTTGTCTTCTATTAACTTTTAATTTTCTAATTATCCTTCTAATTTAATACCAAGTGCCTCTTCTCATTTTAAAAACAGGAAAGCATTATTCTCTTTATTCAAGAAATAGCCAAACTATACTTATTAAAATGTAACCTTATGAGTTAAAACTGATAGTACCAAATGGCATTTTACTATTGCACTAAGTCAATTATCCATGTTCTAACTTTAAAGGCATATATAACAAATTAGAAAGTCCACAATCATACTATAAAATAAATGATTAACCACAAAATAGTTAAATATAGACCTCTGGTGACAATTTGTCAAATTTGTAGAACAGTGTACCCATTAAAAACAACAACAATCTTTAATCATCTTAGTGCTTTTATAAAGCCTTTACTCTGTAGATTTCAGACTGACATTCCCTTTGATAGTACTTACACTACATGCATATAATTTCAGTTCAAGTGAATAGCATTATTAGGACAGAGAAAATGATTAAATCATAGCATACTATTTACATGGAAATCTTTCTAAAATAATTTAGTAAAAAGACTACAGCAAAACTGAATGAAGACCAAATTTTACCTTTTCTGTATTGTAATATAAAGATTTCAAAGTAGTAAACAAGGGTGGGCAGCCTTTACTGAAGTTAACCCTCAGGAACTTATCCAATAGTTCTCTAAATTTTTCACCTAGAAACAAAAGTGTACTTTGTTATAGTTTGATTAATGCAAACAGTTCTCAAAATGATTTATAAATAAAAATCAATTCAGAAACAATTATCCCCCTCTCCAATTTTTAAACCCAAAAACTCAGTGAGCATTTCTTGTTGGTTACCACCAAAAAGCCTAACACCAAATATCTCAGTTGGAGGCTACAGTTTTCCCTACATCTAGGTTCAAAATATCTTCAAGGAACACTTCCAAAGATAGATAAACAAAACGACTGTGTAGCTTTGAGTAAAAGTAACCTACTCTATCCATTCTAAGTATAGTCCCCATAGCAAATATCTTTCCTAATCTCAATGACCAGCAGACTCGGTCCTACTATCAGCAGACAACTCATAAAGTACCCTGAAGACTATAAAATGATTCTACTGTAACCAGCATTATATTCAAGTAGCAGCCAAAATATATTTTCAAAAACTAAAGTAGTATTTACAAATGTTTTCCAAATCAACTAGTTATTTACTTCAACATTCATTTATTCCATAATCATCTACCAAGCACTTATGTGCTAGGCACTGTTCCCAATACTGGAGGTTTAATTTTAAAAATCATGAACTTAACATTTCAGGGGTGAGAAAGACAGTAAGTAAAAGAACCTATGTTAGACAATAGACTGAGCCCAGGGCATTCTAACATTAGAATTAAAATAAATGCCCTATTTGCAATATCAAGTAAATAATTCTATTATTGTTAAACTTTACCAAAAAAATTTTGGTACCACTTTTTCAAAGCAGAAAAAAAGTTGAAAAAAAATTAGTATTAAATACATAGGCTCTAACTCACAGGTATATAAAGTTTTTGACAGTAAGGGTTAATATATAAGGACTAGGGTTAATATATAAGGACTCATTAAAAAAAAAAATACATGTATGTCATGAATGGTTTAACCTAAAGTAGAATTAAGAAAATGAACTCTTGCTCAGCTGATGGGGCTCAGTAGTTGAGCATCGACCATGATCAAGGAAATTGTAGTTTGATTGCTGGTCAGGGCACATGCCTGGGTTGCAGGCTCCATCGCCAACAGGGGGCATGCAGGAAGCAGCCAATCAATGACTCTCTCATCATTAATGTTTCTATCTCCCTCTCTCTGAAATCAATAAAGCATATACATATATTTTAAAAATGCTTAAAAAAAAGAAAGAAAAGAAAATGAACTCTTAAGGTTTCTTTATGAATCACACTTTATTAAAAAAAAAAAACCCAACAACCCAAAGTGGTTATTTCTATTTGTTATGAACAATAGTGCTGAACAAAATATGTATACTCAATAAAATTAGATGTCATAAAATTTAAGAGAATTTTAAATTTTATTGAGTGGAAAGTTTATCAAATTTAAAAAGATACAACAATTTGTTAACTCAATTTACTATAAAGATTGTTTTGAAATTATCATTAACCTTTTATTAGATCACATACAAAATAAAGGTCTTCTGGAAATCACAGATTACCAAGACAGCACAAAATTTTTCTTTTGGTTAAACATACATCATTACTTCTCTCAAAATCAAAAGTAATTTCAGAGATCAAATCTTCCCAGCACTTCCTCTGATATAAAAGCAAAAGTTAACAATATTATGGCAGACAGTAAGAGATGTTGTTGCTTACAGGAATGCATAAACCTCCACTTATTTTGTATGTCCTTGTGCAAATAAGCTGTCCACTAAAAACCTCACTTTCTCCACTGTAAGATGAGTGTAACACCTCAAGAGTATTCTTGCATGGCTCAAACAAGATGATAAGTATATAGCAGTAAGCAGTGTGGATGGCATACAGTAATCACTCAATAAATGTTGTTTATCATTATGTCTTGATATCTGACCAATATTGTATTTATATAGTTAAGAATCTTTTCCATATTTGCTATCATCTACTGAAAAAACAAGCATTTTATCTTCATGTCAGAGACTACTCTAACCTCCACTACTTTGCCAAATTTCTCAGCCTATGCAGATCATACCGGCAAATTTGATTTAAAATACTATAATATACTCAACTCCAAATTATCCATAATATTAAAAGCATCCTTCCCATTAAACTGTTATTTACCTGTACAGCTATGAGGAAAAAATGAGGAAGCTCTTATGTACTCAAATAGAACTAAGCACCAGATACAGAGTTAAGTGGAGATAAGAAAAAAAATGGTGCAGAGCAATCAATGTTTGCTACCAGTTTTGTAGAAAAGGGGGAGAAAAAAAGAAAGTTATAAATAAACTTGCCAAACATATATTTCTGGAAGAACCACCATGTATCAGTAACAATGGCTGTCTCTAGGAAAGTTAACTTGGTGGTCAGGGGACAGAGACAAAAGAAGACTTCTCACTTAAAAACTGTTTTGTCTCTTTTATTTGAAACTGTATGAATATTATCTAAACAAGAAGCCTACAAACAGCTACTCAATTACTCAGTCACACACTATATCCAAAACTTACTAATTACTCATCTCATAATTTTTTGCTTTAGGTATAAGAAAAACTCAACAAAATAATCTCCTTTCTTCCTAGTTATTTTCAAATAACTCTTTTATTAGGAAAATGCTCCTCCCTGCACAGTATATCACATCTTGGAAATTCACAATGCATATATTAAAAGTTCTAAGTCCTACAGAAACCTGATTGCTATGTTTAACCCAGTTCCCAAACTCACTTGCCTGAAGAGCATCCCAGTACACCAGCACTCTCCCCACAAAGCCTATTAATATCCACTTGGATTAATATTCCCAGGAAAACGTTAGGAAAATTTGCTCTCAGTATTTTACAAATACAAAACAAAAAAAGAGTATTAGAAGACTATTAATCATCTGTGGTACTGAAATGTACTAGTGGAAATGTTTTTAATAAATTCATATCTAATGTCCAATCCAATACATTTCTAAGAAGTATTTCATATATTTTGTAAGTCAGTCAAGTAAAATTGCTTTTAATTTCCATGAATTTTTTGACAAAAAGAAAATATAGCCCAAATATTTAAAAAAATATTTCCACTGTAAAGGAGAATTCATTAGAAAATACATTCCCTCCTTATCCCAAGCCTAGAATATTTTTAAAAGATGTATCAGCTTCCTAGGGTCTGACTTGTATCAAAAGACATGCCGGAAGCCCCAATAAGTAATTCATAACCTATAATACTTCCACTAAAAATAAAGATGACTTTAAAAAAAGGCAAATTTTTCTATAAAATCAACAATGATATGAGCTATCTAAAGAGCTAACTTACTTTTTACTTCCTATACAGCCCAAAAGTGAATAAGTTCAGCTACATGCAATAACCTTAACCAAGGTCATTAATATACTATTGTTCAATAAAAGCAAATCACAGACTACAAACCATAGTACTCCAATTTACAAAAAGTACAAAAGCAGGGCTTTTTTGGGTTTTGTTTCTGGGGATATAAAATATATGGAGCTCTATAACAATAATGCTATGATAAAAAGCAACTTTTAGGAAAGTGGTCAACTCTGAGGATGGCCTTCAATAGGAATGGTGATATTCTTGTCTTGAACACAGTGGGCAGAAAGAGCTCACAACTCTTTCTTTGAATTTATACTCTAAAACAATCTAAAACTTCAAAATTTCTACCACTTTAATCATAATACCTCATATAAAATTCATCATCAATTCCAGGGAATTTCATTTACCTTCTAAAATGGCATTTAATTTTTAAAGTCATTTAAGAAAAACAACTTTATGTAATTCCTGATACATAAAACATATAGCTATACACTGAACATTCTTATTAACATATACATAATAAATTCATAACTGACCACTCCCACCCCCAAGAATGGTACAGATGTAAAATAAACCCTAAACCATAAACATGTTTTTAAAATGTAAATGGTACTGAGTAATTTCAACAAATAATTATTAGTGTTACAAAAGATATCCTAATATTACCTGGGACAAGATTCAAAGGTAATCTTCTAGGTGAGATTGCTCTGGGGTGCTGCTTACTAATTTCTTCATAAATCTGAAGCCTCTCTTCTAAAGTGCCTATTATCAGTGAATATGTGTGAGATTCAAAGCATCAAAACTTTTACCTATGATAAAACACTAATAAATGTTTTCAATTATAAGAAAAACTGTATTAACAATATTAAAGCGGCCCTCAATTTTTATAAGAATGACATAAAAAAAGTCTGTGGTGGTGAAATAATATAATCAGTAAATAAGCATTTTAAACCCAATCTCTGAAAAAAATCCAAAACTTCTTTTATTACAACAGATTGTATATCCAACTCAAATCATATACACACAAGACACAAAGAGTCAATTTATATTTGTGTTTGTCTTATATTCCTTAGTACACAACCCATGAAAAAGAAAATGTTCCTTTATAATAGCGATTTTCAACCGATGTGCCGCAAGGTTTTTTAAAACATGCAACACCTGACTATTTAGTCAGGGGCATTAACCTCTTTTCTCTTATATTGTCAAATAGAAAAATGACAACAGCCAATACAACAATAGCTGCCTGGTGTGAATGAATCAAAATTATACCTATTTTTTTTGGTCAGATGGGGAAAAAATATGATATATATTTTGGTGTGCCACAGAGTTTTCATAATTAATTTATGTGTGCCATTAGATTAAAAAGGTTGAAAATTACTGCTTTATAACAAATCTTACATAAACCCTCTGACCCAATGAAGTCTTCATACATCCCCACAGAAGTTTGTAACACATTGATTAGGCTTAGAGAAGCAACAGTTTCAGATCTTAAACGTAAATGTTTTAGATGTAATAAGATGAATTAAATTTCTAAGGTAGCCTTGACACTTAAAATGTTCAATGAAACTCCATTATAAAGAACCCCATTAGTACAGATTATGTTTAAAGTAGTAATCATTTCTCCCAAATACAATGATATAAAATGTACTTCTCACAGAAAATTGTATCTTCCCTCCCAAGACCAATCTAATTTTATAGTACTAAATAGAGGCTATACATATAAACTATACGATAATCTGCAACAATTTGCAGATTATAATCTGGGTCTGGTTTGTTATTCTAAAAGAATATCCTGCATAATTTACAAAGATAGAATGCATGCATTATTTAACATAAACAATAAGCCAACTTACAGCAGAATTTTCAGAAAAAGCAAACAAACCTATTTTTAAACTATAAGACTTAAGGGGATTTTAATTCAGACCACAGAAATACAATTATTTTAAGAATAACTCTTTGTGCTAGTAATCAAAGTATCTCCGTAATATTATATCATGATTATAAACACTGTACTTGTTTGATTTTGTTTAAGACTGCCTTCCTTCCCCCAATAATATGTTTTGGAGCTCCAATGTGGTTGGATTTTTTGAACTGGGTTATGTGAAAAATAATTTTCACATTCTGTTAATGATTTGGAGGCTTCATGAAATATTAAGCACCCTTCCACCAAAATTCGCATAAAGGCTATTGTATTTTTGTTTTTTAAAAAAGCAGTTCACATAGTTAGGCCTAATATTAGAAAATGACAAGTTTTAAGTATAAAAAAATTTTCCACTACCCCAAATATGACAAGTCTTATAAAGGTAGTTAAATTAACATTAAAACAAAACTATTTCAATGCCCTATTTCAAGTCACAAGTTGGAGCTCCAGAACTTACCATGGGGGAGAAAAGTCGTAAGGAACCTAAAAAGATAAAGTAATGTAATTAGTTTTTAGTTTTGTAATCAATACATTTTAGATTAAGTATGGATCCTGACATATGGAATATATTATATTCATTTTACCAAAACATGTAAATGCTCTGTATTATTAACTACATGTCAGTAACTGGTAGTTTAAAGAAAAATCATAGTTATCTCACATTTCCAACTTACAGACATATGACTTTTATCCTGTTTTTTTTAAAAAACAAAACAAAGAAACAGATTGATCTAACCAATATTTAAATTTTCATCATTTTCTTAAAAACATGTAAGAAAAATACTTTAGTAATTATGACAGTAAAATTTAAATACAAACAGAAAATCTGGATTAATTTATAACAGTGGTTAGGATATAACAAATAAACTTTTTTCATGGTTCATACTACTATAATGAATATGGGTAGCTACCTATTTACTATTCTTATTAAATTTAAAAATTCTGCTCTTTCAACACTCCTGAACCATAGTTTCATAATTATTTCAGTCATACATTTATCCATAAGTAATGTGATTTTAGAAATATTAACTGCTAACAACATTTAATTATGAAAATATTAGGGAAAATTTGAACTACTACTCTAGATTTCAGAAAAGGGTCAAGGTTACATAATTTCAAAAGATATACAATATTTTACTCCACACAAATTAACCTAGTTTGAAATTAAGAGAATAATTTTTATAACAATGCTATATACCATATACTCTCAGCAAAATTTCTTTGGCCTATTTCTTATTTAGAGGTTGAGGATATCAGACCTCTAATTCTTTAAAAATAATAATTATGACATTTCCCAGAAAGAGAATGCTCATTCTCTTTCCCATATCTCTAGTTAGTCTAAATAGGTAACATTATAATGGATCAAGGAACCTAAAATTATCTGTACACATTTATCACTTAAGTATAAATATTTTAATTCATTTTCACTCCAATGTTAACCTATATTTTTCCTACATGGAAAAATGAATTCTAGTGCTAAAAATATATGTCCTCAAATTTTACAACTTTACATTTTATTATACTTCAAACACTAGTTAAAAGAAGGTAGAGGAGAAAAGTCATTACATACTAAGTTGCAGAGCTTTTTCCAAGCCTTCATAATAGCACCAATTTTCTGCATTCCGATCAATCAAGTTTTTGAATACTTCACTGGCTTCTTTTAATCTTCCCAATTTCAATAGCATTTCCCCTAAAATTAAGTTTAAAGTTACACTCATTTAACTTAAACATTAAATACCTTTATGATCCCAGATATTTCACTAAACATCATTAGTATAATAGATGTACATGAATGACAGGACTGTACGTGCCTCCCTTTGGGGCATATTGCAGTTTATATAACTAAACACAGACAATTTACAGCTTGCCTTCAGAAATGGACCTTCATTTACACATCCTTCTATACTAACATTCATTTTTGGCTCTCTCCAACAGCTCAAATACACATATAGAATATTAATTTGTTAGTAAAAGTCTTTGCATATTTTTATATACCTTTTAAAATAACAAAAGACCCCCTACACAGATTGTTAAATAATTCTAATGAAGTTTCCCTACCTTCCTATGCAAGATTTAAATGTACTTTCTCTGATAAATTCATGTATTAAACAGTTCTCCATTCAATCCTCTTAATTTCCTTTCCAGGTCACTAAAATTTAAATTAACTTGTAAAACAGTAAAACTAAACACCACTTCACAGAAAGAAACCACACAAACCATGTTCACATGTGGGATACCTAAAGGTTCAATTTTTATGTGGCTTTTATGAAGGCACACAAATTGAAAGCAAGTATGGAGAATGAAGATCTAAACTTCTCAACCACAACAGAAATCATACCTAGTCTAAAATAAAAGGGAGATTCTCAAAAAGAATATATCTCAACTTCCTACCCCTAAGATTTCCCATTCCCCAAAGAATCTATTTCAAACAAATAATCCTCTGAAATGTCATTAAGTCATTACTATTTCTGCTTTTATCATCTTGGAGGAGGTAGCATATGACAGTGGTTATTATATACTATTATTTTACTATTTATATATATTACATATTTTTCAAGCTCTAGAGTAAAACTACCTAGATGTAATTACTGGTTTTACCACTTTCTAGCTCTTCGAACTTGAACAACTTACAAACTTTCAATGTCCATTTCCTTACCTCTAAAATATCAACTACCTCAATCCACTTATGTAATAATCAAAGGAAATAATTTACTTAAAAGGGGTTAGCACAATGCTTGGCATAAAGTGAATACATATAAACATTTGCTACTTAAAACTAAAACATGCCCCATTCCTCCAGAATTAACTTCTGGTCAGTCTAATTTTTACCCTGCTTATATAGATATAAGAGACAACAGCCTATTCTTCAAGTCTAAAACTTTTGTTATCTGCTCCTATCATAAGGCAAAGATTATTACTAGAGGAATATACAGGACAAATTATTTACTTGCATATTGATAAAGTAAAAATCTCTAACTTTAACAGTTTTTAAAAGTATCTTAATATGCTAATGGCTACAAGACATAAACGTATGAATATCAAAGTCTCTGGGCCTACAAAGTTCACTGAAAAAATAAAAATACCATAACCTGTCTCTATAAGCAATACAGAGTATTGGCTTTATATTCAAACTGATGGCCCCAAAATGACCCTCATTACCAATATATGCTGCAACTTGCAGAATTTTTAAACCAGAATTGACCATACTATATAATATCTACTTTTTAATCACTGCATTCCTATTGATACCAGAAGACAAAGACAGAGAAACAGAAAAAGCAACCTGAGAGTTAAGATTTAATCAGGAAATAGCAATAATACATCAGAACAAAAAAATAATTGCCATCAATTACAGGTAATAGAACAAGAAAGAAACCAGAATATTATTTATCCACATTTTACCGTTTGAAAAATAGTGTTGTAGTCATTATTGATATTAGTACTATTCACAATAAAAACTAAGTCAGTTGTTATACATTAACAAGAGTAAAGTAAAGGGGTTAAAAGTAAGGGCTCACAGTAAAAAGAGCAGTGGTTGCCAGGGTTGGGGGCAAAGGGAAACAAATAGGCAGAGCACAGAGAATTTTTAGGGCAGTGAAACCAGTACTCTGCATGATACTATAATGTGGATGCATGTCATTATACATTTGTCAAAACCGAGAGGGTGTACAACACCAAGAGCTAACAGGAATGTAAACTATAGACTTCAAATGGTAATGATGTGTCAATGTAGGTTCATTAATTGTAATAAATATACCAATCTGGTGGGCAATATTGATAGTGGAGGAGGCTACGCATGAGTAGGAAAATACAGTATATGGGAAATCTCTATACCTTCAACTCAATTTTGCTGTGAAACTAATAAAACTACTCTAAAAAATAAAGTCTATATTAAAAAAAAATTTTTAAATAAGGGCTCAGAAGTCAGAAAGATGTGTTTAGAAATTAACTCTACCACCTAAAAGGTGGGGTGTGACTTTGGGCAAGTCCTTAATATCACTAAGCCTTAGTTTCCTCAGCTATAAAATGGAGATAGAAAATAGTACCCATGTTAGAAGTGCTAAAAATTTAAATAAAATAAAGCAGTTTAAGCAATTACCATGCCCTGAAACACAGGAAAAGTAAATAAATGTTAGCTGTTATTTTTATTAAACTTTAGAGTTCTGCAACTATAACAACTTTAGTTTTAAACTGATCATTTTAGTTGGACATTCTATTTAATACAGTATTGCTTATGGAATGGGTAATTGTTGAACAAAGCTTTGTTAAGAAAAAAATGTGCTTGACCCTTTGTTGATAAACTATCAGGACCCTGTCTTCATAATTAGCCCATAATGATACTTCTTGATGAGCCCAGTATCATTTACTATTCTCATTATATTTTACTACATACAGAGATTAGAGAGAGAGAGAGAGAGATACAGATATATACATAAATATATAGACATGGAGGGGTGAAATATAAAGGCAATATAATATTCTGCTTAATAGAATCTGGAGTCAAAATTCTTGGCCACAAATCCAGCACTACCCAGATTACTTACCTGTGTGACTTTGGGCAAGTTACTTACCCTCTCTGTTCCTCAGCCCCCCAACTCTAAAGTGAATATAACAACTACATCGTAATAATAAGGATTTAGAACGTCTTATTTAAGTGTTAAGACAGAATAAAGTAATACAGTTTTTGTTCTTTAACTAAGGCCATGAAAAAGAAAAGGTAGGTCAACTAACCTTTAATTTCTTCCACCAAAAGTTTATCACATATTTGTTTCTCATATGTTTCTATATGTTCCAAAGATTCCTGAAACAGATCTGCTTCTCGCATCACTTGATTCTGGTATAATATCAGTTCACTGTATTCATAGTCTATTTTGTTAAGAGGAACCTAAAATAATAAGAAAGGACTAAATTATTTTATTCATATAATTACATAAAGCAGTTTCAGATCTTTAATTTCATTGCTTTCTCAGGAAAGTAATTCACACAGACTTAAAAAAACAATCTGTGAACAATTACAAACAGAAGAGTGATTAACAGCAAAGATTAATACATTCTTTAAAATAAATAAAGGGGTGGGACTCTGGTATAGAGCAAAGTGAAGAGGTTCTATACCCCCAAAAAAGTATAAAATCATTAAAATCCTAAGGAATCTACATTTAAAAACCTCATCAAGGAGTTAGGCAAGCCTGGCCGGGCATGGCTCAGCGGTTGAGCATCAACCTAGGATCCAGGAGATCAGGGTTCAATTCCCGGTCAGGGCACATGTCCGGGTTGCGGGCTAGGCAGCCGATCAATAAATCTCTCATCATTCATGTTTCTATCTCTCTCTCCCCTCCTCCTTCCCTCTCTCTGAAATCAATAAAGATACGTTTAATANCATGTTTCTATCTCTCTCTCCCCCCCTCCTTCCCTCTCTCTGAAATCAATAAAGATATGTTTAATNCTATCTCTCTCTCCCCTCCTCCTTCCCTCTCTCTGAAATCAATAAAGATACGTTTAATAAAAAAAAAAAGGGAGGTAGGCAAGGTGACAGAAAACAAAATCAATTATATTTTTACATACTAGCAACAAACCACCTGAAAATTAAATTAAAATGATTTCATTCACAATAGCATCAAAAACAACAAGATATTTAGGAATAAATTTAAGGAATAAATTTAAGAAACAAGATCTATATACAGAATATGCTAAGAGAAATTACAGACCTAAATAAATGGTGAGATAGTGCATCCACAGTCATGAATCAGAATGCTCAATAATGTTTTGATGGCAATTCCTTAAAATTGATCTATAAATTCAATGCAATCCCTACCAAACTCTCAGCAAGCCTTTTGAAGAAATTTATAAGCCAACCCTAAAATTCAAATGGAAATAAAAAGAACCCTACATCTAAAAAAGAATAAAGTAGGAGGACATGCATTTCAAATTTCAAACTTACTATAAAACTACAGTAATCAATACAATGTGGCACTTGCATAAAAATACACATACAGATCAGTGGAACAGAATATAAGGTCGAAAAATAAGTATATTCTGGTCAACTGATTTTCTACAAAGGTGCCAAGGCAATTCAAAGAAGAAAGGGTAGCCTTCTCAACAAATAATGGTGGAACAATTAAATATCCATACGCAAAAAAATGACCTTAGACACATAATTCATACCATATACAAAAATTAAGTCAAAATGTATCACACATCTAAATGTGAGCACTAAAACTATAAAAGAAATCTTAGAAGAATAGGAAAAATTCTTTGTGACCCTATGCATAAAAGAAAAAAATTAGTAAATTAGACTTCATCAAAATTATAAAACTTTTCTTTTTCAGAAGATAACATTAATAACGTGAAAACACAAGTTACAGACTGGGAGAAAATATCTGCAAATAATATATCTAATAAGGAACTTGTAATAAGAACATATAAAGACCTTTTACAGCTCAGTTTTAAGACAAATAACCCAATTAAAAAATGGGCACAAAATTTGAATAGACAATTCATCAAAGAAGAAATATAAATGGCTAATAAGAACATAATAAAATGGTCAATATCATTAGTGTTAGGAAAATGCAGAGAAAATGTAAAGGAGAATACACTATACTTATATAAAGCTACCCATATTAATCTTAGTAAATGTTAAATCCAGCTTATTACTCTAACCTGATTTTTCTCAAAACTAGAGCTTACATGTTAAAAGTTTTTTTAGTATACTTCACAGTCCAGCAGTTTCAGTTCCTGTGTAATCCTAAGGAGCAGCCCTGGCTAACGCCGAGGGTCCAGACACAGGAATTCATTGATAAAAAAAAAACAGATGATCAACTCAAGGATGCTGATCATGAAAATCCATATCAGGACCAGCAAGGACACTGCCTGCATGTCCATAGCCCCTCCCCCTGATCTCTTTGTCCTGGTTTCAGTCTCCCTCCTTATAAAAACCTCTGTCTGCACTGAGATGTTAAGATGGGTTTTTGAGGAGCAGGGAAAGTCCCCCATCTTCTCAAGATGCCAGCAACTGAATAAATCTCTTTCCTTTTACCAGCACCTGTCTTATGTATTTGGTTTTCGCTGCAGCAGGCAGAAGAATCCGGATTTTGGTTATAATACCACTAAAACAGATACTATTACACATCCACTAAGATGGCTATCATCAAAAAATTATATATGGTATTGGGGATGAAATTGGAACCCTCGTACATTATTGGAGAGAATGTAAAATGGTTCTGCCACTTAGGAAAACTGGGCAGTTTATTAAAAAGTTAAATATAGCCCTGGTCAGCATGGCTCAGTGATTAGAGCATTGGCCTGTGCACCGAAGGGTTGTGGGTTTGATTCCTGGTCAAGGGCACGTACCTGGGTTGCAGGTTTAATCCCCAGCTGTGGTTGGGGCATGTGCAAGAGGAAACCAATCAATGTGTGTCTTACATTGATGTTTCTCTCTCTCTCCCCCACCCTTTCATTCTCTCTAAAACTCAATGGAAAAAATATCCTTGAGTGAGGATTAACCCAAAAAAAAAAAAAGTCATGGTATTTTCCGACATGGATTAGAGTGCAGTTATGAAAAAATAAGCATGCCCTCTATGTACTGAAAGGGAAGACACTCCCAAATAAATCAAGTGAAAAATAACAGTGACTCTAGTATGTTACCATTTGTGTAAAAAAAAAAAAAGTTAAATGTATACTTATCAAAAAAAAACCAAGTAATTTCATTCTTAGATATATACCAGAGAGAAATAAAAACATATGTACACACAGAAATTTGTACACAATGTTCACAGCAGCACTATTCGTAATAACAAATTAAAAACAATCCTTATGTCCACCAGTTAATGAATGGAAAAGCAAAGTGTCATATATCCATAATAAAAGAGTATTTAGCATTAAAAAGAACTGAACTACCAATACATGCTCTAATATGGATGAATCTCAAAAACATGCTAAAGAATAACAAAATAACAGAATCTAGAGACAGAACACTATATTATGATTGCCATTGTATTATTGCACGCCCATTATTTATACACGTGGAGAACTATGTTTTTTTTCTATAAGTCTTCTCTGAACTAGTCTTCTCTGAACTTCTCTGGGGTAAAGATAGAACAGAGGACTTATCATATAAACTCTGCATTGAGATTTACTTGATAAATGAAAAGAGAAAAGTCTATCAGTCTAGCACACAAAATTAGTTTGACTATCATTCCAAAAAATAATACCTTGCTTTTAGAGTAACTGTCAAAAAAAAGTTCTCATCAAGAAAATACGAAGAGGATGGTGTTAGCAAAAAAGGTAAAGACCTCCAAAAACTCTTATCTCCATAAAAGCAATAAAGAAGTTGGCAAAAAAACTCTCAGAATCACCTTTTCAGAACTCTGGAAATTAATCAAAGGCTCGAAGCTACCTGGGGAGCACATATTGAAGAAAAATGGCTGGATCTTGGTAAGACCAGTGAGCTCTGTGGTGTTTTAACTTGCCCTACTCCTGCTCCATGCTCTCCAGCTACACAGCAGCCTTGAAAAATAAGCTTGTATGCCCAGAGTAGCCACCAGAGAGAACAGAATAAAGCTGGAGCTCTTTTAAAGCCTCCTTCTAAAGGAACTGTAATTAACTGACCCATCAAGTGGATCCCTGTAAGATCCCACATAAAGGCAAACACGGAGCTTGCCCAGAGCAAAAAGCCTTATGGGGAGGAGACGGCCAAAGGCATTTGTCGAAAACAATTATGGACAAGTGTTTACCTTTACAGTGCCTGAAGTGATGAACAGCAGTCCAGGTAAACAACAGATTAACCAAAAATCTTAAAGGAGAAGCTGGGAAATGTGATGTCCATCAGAGGCTTTGAAAAGCCACATACACATAAAGGTCTGCACATGCTCAGGTAAGAACTCAGGAAACCCTAAGCTTTCACCTTTTGCTACCCTGACACTGAACAAACAAGAAGCAAAATCTAAGGCAGAGCTGCAAATTGCTTGACTGAGTGCTGAAGGCATATCCCAACTCTACAGAGAAAATTAACAAAACTACAAGTTGGTTCTTTGAAAGACCAACAAAATTGAGAAATCTTCATCTAGAATGACCAAGAAAGAAAAAGGAGAGTACTAAAATCAGGAATAAAAGGAGGGACATTACCACAGAACTTACAGAAATAAAAAGGATTATAAAGAACTATTTTGGCCCAGCTGGTGTGGCTCGGTGGTTGAGCATCGACCCATGAATCAGGAGGTCATGGTTTGATTCCTGGTTAGGGCACATGCGGGAGTTGCAGGTTCGATCCCCAGTAGGGGCAGAGTGTAGGAGGCAGCCGATCGATGATTCTCTCTCATTGATGTTTCTATCTCTCTCCCTCCCCTTTCCTGTCTGAAATCAATTTTTAAAAACATATTAAAAAACAAGAACTATTATGAAAAGCTATATGTCAACAAATTAAATAACTTACACGAAATGGACTAATTCCTAGAAAAAAATACAAGCTACTGAAACTGAAGAAGAAATAGAAAATCTGTATAGACCAATAACAAGTAGAGAATAAATTAGTATCAATGAACTTTCAATAAAGAAAAGCTCAGGAGCAAATGCCATCACAGGTGAATGCTACCCAATGTTTACAGAAGAATTAACACCATCCTTCACAAACTTCCAAAAAAACAGAAGGGAACACTTCCCAACTCATTCCATGAGGCCAGACACAGACATCAAACAAAAAGAAAACTAGAGACAATATCTCTTACCTCAATATCCCATAACCTCACTAATAATCGAAGAAACACAAAAGAAAAATGAGATAAACTTCTTCACATCTAGAAGACTGAAAATAACTAATAAAGCTGACAAGAGTCAGCAAGGATGTTGAGGAAACAATAATTGTAAAACCTTGCTGGTAGGCATATAAATTAGTACAGCTCCTTCAGAGAGTGATGATAATAATACTCAGTAAAACGGAAAACATACAGCTACAAGTCTGCAATTCCAGTTTTAGGTATACACTGAAGAGAAACTCACAAATGTGGCTAAGGAAACAACAGACAAGAATATTCATTACAGCAATGCTTTTTAATAGAGGCAAAGTAGAATGGATACACTATGGCTTATTTATATAATGAAACTCCAAACAGCAAATAGCAATGAGGTATCACCTCACACCTGTCAGAATGGCTCCCATCAACAAATCAACAAATGACAAGTGCTGGCGAGGGTGTGGAGAAAGGGGAACCCTAGTACACTGCTGGTGGGAATGCAGACTGGTACAGCCACTATGGAAAACATTAGGGAGTTTCCTCAAAAAATTTAAAATGTAACTGTCTTTTGACCCAGTGACCCCACTTCTAGGAATATATCCTAAGAAACCCGAAACACCAATCAGAAAGAATATATGGCACCCCTATGTTCATAGCAGCACAATTTACAATAGCCAAGATCTGGAAACAGCCCAAATTCCCATCAGTAGATGATTGGATAAAAACACTGTGGGACATTTACACCATGGAATAATATATACTATGCAGCTATAAAAAAGGATCTCTTATCCTTTGACTCAGCATGGAGGGACCTGGAGAATATTATGCTAAGTGAAATAAACCAGTTAGAAAAAAATAAGTATCACAGGATCTCACTCATATGTGGAATCTAATGAGCAAAATAAACTGATGAAGAAAAGACATCCAGAGACAAAGAAGCATCAAACAGACAAATCTCAGAGGAAAGGTGTGGGGGAGGGGAAGAGATTAACCAAAGAACTTCTATGCATAACCCCTGGACACAGACAATAGTGTGGTAAGGGCCTTGGTGGGGGAAGAGGTCGGGAGCAGGGTGGAGGGGGTCAATGGAGAGAAAAAAGGGGACAATTGTAATACTTTCAATAATAAAAATAAATTGTTTAAAAATGGATAAACTAGCCTTACATGTATCAAGACAGACGTATCTCAAGAAAGTTGAATTTTAAAAACCTGCATATCATTCATACAGATTTTTAAGTACACAAGATAATACTGTTTTATAAACTTATACATAATGTAAATGCACTGGAGTGATTTCTACCAATTTCAGAATAGTGGCTACCTCTAGGGAGGCACATGGAAGAATTTAGCTATTTCTGTAATTGTATTCCTTTAAAAAAAAATAATAAAATCTGGAGCAATAGGACAAAATGTTAACATCTACAGTGGTACCTCGGTTTTCAAACGTCTCCGTTGACGAACATTTTGGTTTACCAACACCATAAACCCGGAAGTAAATGCTTCGGTTTTCGAACACGCCTCGGAAGTGGAACATGCCACACGGCTTCCGCTGAGGGCAAGATCCTGAGGCCCAGCTGTCGGCTGTTGATCCCTCAGTTTTTGAACGTTTCAGAACTCCAACAGTCTTCCAGAACAGATTGCATTCGAAAACTGAGGCACCACTGTATTTAATTTCTCATGTATATTTTTATACTTTCCTATCTTACATATATATTAAAATGTATTTATTAATGTTTATATCAAATATAAAGCATATATTTTGAAAAACAATTCCCAGTCACAAAACTTTCATTTTCATGCAGTCTTTTATCATTTAAATATTGCTGAAATTATAGTGTACAAAAATTTTATATTATTTCTTTTGCATTAAGAATTATGTTTTAGCCCTAGCCAGTTTGGCTCAGTAGTTAGAGCATCGGCCTTTGGAATGAAGGATCTCAGATTCGCTTCCATGCAAGGGCATGTGCCTGAGTTGCAGGCTCGATCTCCAGCCCCAGTAAGGAGTGTGCAGGAGGCAACCAATTGATATGTCTCTCTCACATCAATGTTTCTCTCTCTCCCTTCCACTTTCTTTGAAAAAGCAATGGAAAAAAATACCCTCTGGTGAGGATTAAAAAAAAAAAAGAATTGTTTTAGCCCTGGACAGGTAGCACAATTGGTTAGAGCATCATCCTGATACACCAAGGTTGAGGGTTTGATCCCTGGTCAGAGCACATACAAGAATCAACCAATGAATGCATAAATACGTAGAACAAATTGATGTCTCTCTCTGTCTCTCTCTCCCTTTCTAAAATCAATAAATAAAGTATTTTTTAATAAAAAATTCTGGGTTTTTTTTCCAACCACAGTTTACATTCAATACCCTCCCACACTAGTTTCAGATGTACAGCAGTGGCCAGAAAACCAGGCACTCTAGAGTGTTCCCCCCACCGCCTCCCTGCTGTCCCAAGCATCCACCTGGCCCCATAACTAGTTATCTCTACATTATTGAACATATACTCTATGCTACAATCCACATCTCTGTAGCTATTCTGCAACTACAGAATATTTGTACTGCTTAATCCCTTCACCTTTTTCACCTAGCTCCCCCAATTCACCGACCTTCTGACACCTGTCAGTCTGTTCTCTGTATTTATGAGTCTGTTTCTATTTTGTTTGTTTATTTTGTTCATTAGATTCCACATAAAAGTGAAATCACATGGTAATGTCTTTCTCTGACTGGCTTATTTCATTTAGCATAATACAGTAAAACCTGGATATAACGGACTAACCCATTAAAGCCAAAAGTCCATTATATAATAAAGTAGGTTTCCCAAATGTGCATGTTAAAAAATTGTCAAATTAGTTAGTTTACCTGTTTTTACTTATGTAGACACATTTGTCTAATTAAAATTAAGTGTGTATGAAAAGTTTAATTTCACAGAAAAGTTTTCTACATGTATTACTGTAATTTTAAATTTATACTGAATAGGTCTAGTATATAAATGAGTGCATTTACCACTCACCAAGAGTAAACAAATGCACACTGCTGGGCTGTGGCTTAGCACACTTCGGAACAGCTGGCATGCAAGTTAAAACTACTACAAAAAGTCATTCCACACAACAACAGAACCAATTACTTCAAGTGCTGCAGTGTGATAACGTGCTAATCATTCATGGAATATTGTTTACAAGCAGTGACTCTTGGATTTAAATATGTAGGCTATAGTTATAGATATGTAATATTTATTTATGTTGGTGAAATTACTAGAGTTTTTTTCCAATGTATGGCCTATTTGCTTACATTTGTTAAAAATAACAGTGAAGCCCAGCTGGGTGTGACTCAGTGGATGAACATCGACCTATGATCCAGGAAACTGGGGTTCGNTGAAGCCCAGCTGGGTGTGACTCAGTGGATGAACATCGACCTATGATCCAGGAAACTGGAGTTCAATTCCCAGTCAGGGCGCATGCCTGGGTTGTGGGCTCAATGCACAGTGGGGGACATTCAGGAGGCAGTCGATCAATGACTCTCTCATCATTGATGTTTCTATCTCTCTCTCTCCCTCTTTTTGAAATCAACAAAGATATGTTTAAAAAAATAAAAAATAGCAGTGAAGCTCTGGCTGGTGTGGCTCAGTGGTTAGAGTGTGGGCCTGCACACTGGAGGGTCTAGGGTTCAACTCCCAGTAAAGGGTCCATACCTGGACCCTTTTAGGTTAGATCTCTGCCCCCATTTGGGGCGCATGTGGGAGGCAACCAATGGATGTGTCTTTTTCACATCAATGTTTCTCTCCCCCTCTCCCCTCCCTTCCATTCTCTCTAAATGGAAAAAATATCCTCATTCCTTGGGTGAGGACTTAAAAATAATAATAACAATGAATTAATAACAAAAAATAACCTGCTAACTTAATTATAAGCAAATCTTGGTTAAAAGCATTTTAAAATTAACAGGGTGTTAATTTTCACATATAATTGGACTGGAAGTTTTGTCCATTAAATCTGAAGCCATTAAATTGAGGTCTTCAAAATCAAGTGTTTACTGTACCCTCTAGGTCCATCCATGCTTTGGTAAAAGGTAGGATTTCCTTCTTTTTTACAGCTGTGTAGTATTCCATGGTATAAATGTCCCACAGCTTTTTTGTCCACTCATCTATTGATGGGCACTTGGGGTGCTTCCAAATCTTGGCTATTGTAAATAATGCTGCAACGAACATAGGAGTGCATATATTCTTTTGAATTAGGGTTTCAGGTTTCTTCAGTTACAGTCCCAGAAGAGGAATCGCTAGGTCATAAGGCAATTCCATTTTTAATTTTCTGAGAAACCTCCACACTGTTGTCCATAGTGGTTGCACCAAGGAATTCTGTTTTACACTTGTCAATTTTCAAGTTTTTCCATAGGTCTCAAAGACTTTAATTCACATTTGGGGGTGGGGGCAATACAGAAGTCAACTATTTTATTTGTGAAGGTAGGAAAAAAAGTTAAAATGAACTTCTTACTTGCTGAGTTTGTCTAAATTCTTCCAATAGTTTTAGTGCCATGTCGTAATCTTTCAGCAAATGGTATGCAATAGCATATCCAATCCAGGAAGCACGCTGTGTTGGGCGCAACTGAAGAAGCTGATACCTTGTCTCCTTAGAAGAAAAAAAAATTGTCTTTTTAACCTTCTGTACTTTAACTTTCTATAAAATACTTATATTTCATCACAGTTTTCAGGAAACAATTCAATACCTTTAATTCCTTTTTAATGAATTCAATTAACAAATATAAGTTCCACAATAAAATAGAAATGCTTTTTGTGTGCCTTATCTAAATTACTTTAAGTTGTAAAATACCCCATTACTGTTCATTGTAAGGCTGTCACTGAAAGTGGGCCCTTGGGCCCATGCTTTTGGGCTGACTTACAAAATTACCTTTATATAACAGAATTTCTTTTGGTAATTACACATCTTGGAAGAAAGACTAAGATAGTTTTTTATTGAACTAAAGTTTGCTGTTTATAAAATTATTATATGAAATTTCAATGGATTTACATTATTACAGTAGGCCCCAGAGATAGGATGGACACAGCAGGGGAACTCTCAAACATCTGACAGGGCTTTTCAGCAGAAACACCACTGCTGCCGCTCTGACTGGTCAACATCTATGACATTAGGAAGAAAACACCAGAAATTCCCCTAATCGCTGCCCCAGAAGAATCAAGGTATCTTCATTAGCAGAAAATCCAACCTCCCTACATAGGCCTCACTTCTTCATTGCTCATATCTGCCTCAAGTTCTAGGCAAGTGCAACTGCTTGGAGGAACAGGGTCTCATGTAGAACACCAGCTGCAATGAAATTTTGAAAATGTAGTGTTTAGCTTCTGTGACTCTGTGGTTGGAATGGGTGCCATACTCACTATATGCCAAAAGGAGCAACAAGATCAGATCTTCTTTTGTAAAAAGATATCTTTAACAACTTAGTATCACTCCTCTGCCTTCATGTGTGTCTGGTTCCTTTTAGGCATATGAAATTAAGCTATTATCACTCTCACTCATTTTCACTGTTGCTTCTGTCACTCCACTCCTTCATTAAAGTCCGGATCAGTTTTCTTCTCTCTGCCAAATCCTACCATTATCCTGGGCAAATGGAACACTGTGTATCACACATCCAACAACCTAACTTCTTAGATCTAAGATTTCCTCATCTCTAATGATCTCCTCTACCCCTCTTTAAGGACCCACTCCCACAACCCCATCCAAGACCAGCAATTTTCAACTGGCGTGCCACAAGAATTTTTAAAACATGCCATACATGACTATTTAGTCAGGGGCACTGATCTCTTTTCTGTTAAATTGTCAAATAAAAAAATGGTAATAGCCAACACAACAATAGCTATCCGGTGTGAATGAATCAAAATTATACCTTTTTATGTCAGACTGGCAAAAAGTATATTTTTTCGTGTGCCACAGAACTTAATTAGTAATTAGTTTGTGTGCTATGAGATGAAAAAGGTTGAAAATCACTGCAACTGTCAAATAGAAAAATGACTATAGCCAACACAATAGCCAACCACTGTGAATGCCCTGTCTTGAACCATAAATATATAGGTCATGTAATAGAATTGTATCTTACTGGTCACGTTGCATAATAAGGTTGTGTCTGATTGGTTAATTCTTGGTACTAGAAATCCTTACATACAAATATAGGTACTTAATTTTTTTAAAAGTACTTTGGGCAAAAACGGTAGGTAATTACTTTTTTTTTTTTTTTTAAAGCAATCAAAATTATACCTTTTCGGGGGGAGGTCAGATAGGCATAAAGTATATTTTTGGTGTGCTACAGAATTTTAGTAATTAGTTTATATGTTCCATGAGATAAAAAAGGTTGAAAATCACTGTTGCAGACCTTATTTGCCACCCAGAAATCATAAATTCAAATATCTCACTCCTTGGCCACAGTGCTTATGCTGCCAACATTTTCACTTAGTGACATTCCTACCCTTATTCTTAAGAGGACACCACGAGTACCTCTAGTTCCTTGGGTCCTTCACTTCTAACCACCAGCTCTTTTACCTTCATTTATTTCACTATTCCTCTCAGGAACCACTCTCTTGCCAACGTTCTTAATTTTTTTGCCTCATACCTAAATATAATTAACTTTAACTCTCACTACACCCAGGCTGCTAAGTACTGCTCAAGAAAAACTGCAAAACCTTGAAGAATGGTTATTATTACCAAGCTCAACAGAACTCTTGAAACGTCTGTAAAAATCTAGGCATAGGGTGTAAGGACTTATGGCAGAAGGGCAAAAGTAAAAAGTACATGAAAGATTTATTTAAGGAGAACTGTTAAGGGTTGGTGGCCTCCTTCACTTAAGAAAGCAAGAGAATTAATTATGTTTTGGACATAATGAATTTAGGATACAGATGGAGATGCCCAGCAGAAGTGAAAAAGCCAGTTTGAAGAGGTCTGGGCTACAGAAAAAGTGATGTATAGCAATACTTCTCACATTATTTTATATTTACTAACCCATAATAAAGAAAGCTAATTAATTGCTACATTTAGATTTCAATTACAAATGTCTTGTTTACCAGATTTGTAAATTTCAAGCCCACAAAGAATCTAGTACAGCATTTGTACACAGGAGATAGCACAGTTTTTTTAAAAGCGTTAAATAAAATTATCCTTTTTTAATAATCAAGTGTGCAGTTCTACAGCTATTATTGGGAGGAGGTCCCAAGTGACTTTCCCCTTTTATAGACTGCAATCAACAATCAAATCTACATGATCTTGGCTTAGGCTCATCTCATTCTGAATTCACATGCTTTTAAATTATATCTATTGTAAAAATGTGTACACTTAAGACTAAAGTACTTACTCGGTAACCTTCAAGGTCTCTCATTTGGATCTGCAACAGAGAGAGGTCCCTCAAAATTTGCAGATTATCTTTATCTAATTTGAGGGCATTTCGGTAACACTTAATAGCTTCATCGTATTTCTTATCAGAACGCTGCAAGAGTCCATATACATGCCAACCTATTAAGTTAAGGAAATACAGACATTCACAGGTACTAGAAAATACTATGCTACACATCTATCTAATATAAAGCTTTCTTTAACAAAATGGTATTTTGCCTAAGATTTACTTCAGAATGATCTGGGGTGAGAGGGAAGGGAATAGTGAGCAAGTGGTAAGAGATAAAATGAGATCGGCCTTGACTGACAACCGTTAAATTAGTGAAGCTGGGTGCTGGGCACGTAAAGATTCATTATTCTATTCTCTCTATATGTGTACATGTTTGAAACTTTCCATAATATTTTTAAGTAACCTTGGAAAATTCTTGGTAAAATTCTTCACATTCCCTATTTTCCAGTCCCTCACTTGTCGTCATTCTCCTACCCCACCACTTCAACATTTACTTACTATATATTGAAACCCAATATATACAAAAACTACAATTATCTTTTAAAACAAATTTATAGTCAGTCAATTCTAAAACAACATGTAACCATCAGTTAAGTCACCAATAATATTAAAAGCCATGAAATTAAGTTTTTATTTATTGTAAATTAAGTTCTTAGCATATCTTGGAGCCAAAAAAACTACCATATTTACATGCTCTGTTTCTTCACTTGAGAGTTAAGCACTGGGATAAAAAAATAAGTATTTAATATTTTGAGAGAACTCTTAAGTTAAAAATGTGAAAATACTACTAAAACTATTGATGGTCAATACTGGCCCATAGATAGATAAATTAAATGTAAAAAAAATAAGAAACAGGACAATATGTGAATAAACATATAGATAAGCAAAACAGAAATGAAAATCAATTTCAATGATCCAGCCTTAAAAAGTATTTTGGTTTTTTTACAAGCTGCACAGTAGACACAGAAAAATATAATTATGAGTATCAGTGAAAACAGCTATGTCCCTGTGCAAATGAAACAAGCTGAAGAACCAATATAATAATCATACTTAATACTAAATAAAATGCTTTAAAACAAATGTCTTCTGAATTTTTCTTCTAAATTTTCTAAACAAAAGTTTAAAGAACACAAATTTTACTATACAGATTTACTATACAGATAAGTTATCTGGAATGATGAGAAAGCATCCCTCAGTTTATGGATACAGAGGAAAAACAATGGGTTTCAAGTCAGATATAATTAATAAAGTTATTCTTCTCTCACACTAAGCACAACTGAAATAAATACATGCTATATAGGGATTCTCTTTAAAATACTCCAATAAATAAAAAATGAGGCACGGGGACAGATTAATACTACAAAATTTTGATAATTATTAAACCTGAGTAATCAGTACATAGAGTTCATCACATTCTCTTCTATATAGGTTTGAATTTTTTCACAGTAAAGTTCTTAACATTCGAATTAGGAAAAAACCTAGCAAATGGAAAATACATATATGAAATTAAACTACTCAACCACAGTAAAAGGATACAGACATGACTCTTGACATCGTTACGAAGTCCTTTACGAACGAATTCATATGCTTCTTCTTTTTTTCCTAAACAGTTCAATGTTAAGCCTTTCATAGCCAAAGTCTCTGAAAAATATTGTTAACCTCTATTTACACATGAAAGATTCAAATTATCTTAGCACTACTTTAATATATGAGACCTGCCATGCTTGTATTATTCATCTTCTTAATCCCATAGTTAAAAGAACTTCTCTCCAAAAACTACATTTTAAATACTTGCTTAAAGTTTAGCCCAAGTCCTTTACTGAAATTCCTTAGGTGGGGATTGAGTTGCTAAAATGCTTTCTGCTCTTTAGAAGACTCTTTAAAGGGGGTTGAGATTATTTTGCTGAGAAAAGGTAACACATCAGGCACCTGAATCCTGTTGAGTTAAATCTACTACAGTCCACACCTTTCACCTGAGATCAGTTTTGTGTTTTTTTTTAAATATGTCTTTATTGATTTCAGAGAGAGGAAGGGAGAGGGAGGGAGAGAGAGAGAGGGAAACATCAACCATGAGAGAGTCATTGATCGGCTGCCTCCCGCATGCCCCCTACTGGGGATCAAGCCTGAAACCTGGGCATGTGCTCTGACCAGGAATCCAACCACAATCTCCTGGATCATAGGTCGATGCTCAACCACTGAGCCACACCGAGTGGGCACCTGAGATCAATTCTAACCAAGAATCAAATCTGACTTACACCCCACAAAACAATCTACCTTAATAAAGAGAAAAAAAATCATCTTAATACTGGAACAGACTGCATTTTTGGCAAATTTATTCCAACTAATCCTAATTAGGCTAATTAATATACTTTTGCATTTCAAGGATACAACACTGAAATACAGGAATGGCAACCCAAAAATATGTTTAAGGTAGCTAATGAAAGATGCTTTAGAATGAAATAACTCTCTGAATAATCCACAAAAAATAATCCACAAAGGAATTAGACAAGAACACTTGTTTTCAAATTTATCTCTGTGGATTCTGGTTTTCAGAACATGATGATAGAACAGTCCAAGCCCCTATAAGCAAACATCTTTTTTCTGTTTATACATAAAGAACTTCCCCACAAGCTTCCATGTAGATAATGGTTCCATAGCGAAAAGGCTTGAGAACAAGCTTTAAATTTCTAAAATTCTATGAAATGAAGACTTATTTCCATTTTCTTCAAAGGATGTTTTCAACATTAGAAAGATGAGCTGAGTCAGCCTATTTTCCCAATAAGACAGTCTCAAGAATTAGCCAAGTCTAATAGAGATCCCAGTTAGCTTTGCTTTGCTATAGGATCATAATTTGCATATCTAACCTCATCCATCCTTTTAACAAACACTGGTGACAAGTGAAAAAAGATGAGACAAGCAAATATAGACTTATTAATTATTACCAGAACTAGAAAAACAACTCAAGATAAACAATCTAATGATAAATCAGTAGTGTCATATTTATAAAGGAGAGCAGACATATAAAAGACATCTACCAAAGAACAAAACGCACTTGACTATATCTTTATACTACTTCTGTGTTGCAAATATTGTCCTAATTTTATACATAGGAAATCAAAGCATAAACTTAAGTTCTAGTCAAAGTAATACATGAAATCAGGTCTATAAAAATATTGGTATATACTCCAACTGTTCCCCAATTAATCAACCAACAACTTCTCATCTAATAGTAAAGAACTGTACATATACTTACATGAAAAGATTCATAACAGAAGTAAAGTAACCTAGAATAAGACTGATATGAGACATAACTAAAAATGTTAAATATTTATACAATCTACTAGAGAGCTACAAGGCCATGGAATTCTTCTTTCACTGTTAGGAATCCTATCTAATTTTAGAATTAGATTTCCCCAAAACAGTCTCTCACAAATAAGACAGTACCTCCATGTTCAGCAAATTTTGGATTCGAAAGAATCATCTTGCAAAACTTGAGGCCATTTTTGTATTGCTTCTGTTCATAACATTTCTGTAAAGAAATACAAACAAAAATTATTTTATAAAATGAATATACATGGAGCAACTTTTATATAAGTCTAAATTCAAGATCCAAAATGAGGTCTAAAAACATATGTGATGGAAAGATTTTATGTCAATTTATATCACTTATGACATGTACTTCTGTTATCTACTCCCAGTGTCTATTTTCACTTTTACAGAAGATAAAGAAAAAAAAACTTAATAAACAGAGAATTTAATTGTCAATCTACACTTCTACAACTTTTTAAAACCCAGAATCCAAAAGCAAAGACATAACTGACAACAACAGAGAAAAATACTAGAAACTGCATTAAAAGTCTCTGCTACTTCAAGAATGGAGCCGAGGAATACACACAAAATACTGCCATTTATAGAGCAACCTATCATCTCTCTACAGAACTTGTTATAACTTGTATTACCTCTGCCTCACAGATGTGGAAAATGTTCACAAATGCTTTCATAAGTGACTCAGCTTCAAACTCTGGTGTGACTCCAAAGATCACGATCCTTCCATCACTAGTCTAATATAAGTGTAAGCAACCTCTTTATACCTAAATGCCACCAGACAGTCTAGACTAAGGAATCAGTGACTGCCCTCCATAGCCACTGATAATGGGAACATCCCATCTCCTTTCACTCACATTCTCACTTACGTTGTTACGGGTATTCCTTCGAGTACTAATCCCCACCATAGGACCTCTGCACTTGGGGTTCCTTCTACCTGGAATGTTCTTCCCCAGGTCTTCCCATGGCTAATTCCTTATGATCTGAGTGTCACACATCACCTACCTGACCACTCTATCTAATACTGCTAGCTTCTGACCCCCACACATACACATTTTCTCTATCATATTACTCTATTTTCTACACAACACTAACATTTCCTGAAATTCCTATTTATGTGATTACTTTTTTAGTATCTTCCCCACCATACTGTAAGCTCCTTGAGAACAGGGATCTTGCCAATTTAAAACATGTTTTTATTGATTTTAGAGAAAGAGGAAGGGAGAGGGGGAGAGAGAGTGAGAGAAACATCGATGTGAGACAGAAACAACAATTGTTGGTTACCTATAGTATGCACCCCAACTGGGGATCAAACCCGCAACCCAGGCATGTGCCCTGACCAGGAATCAAATCAGTGACCTTTTGGTGCACTGGAGGATGCTCAACCAACTGAGCCACACCAGCCACGGCTCTTGCCTATTTTAAACGCTCCCGCATCCTCAGGTCCTAGACAAATAAGTACTGCTCAATAAATACAGCCTACTAAGTTCAAAGAAAAACAGTACCAGCAAAGGAGGAGGAACTGATTTATCCTTGCAGCAGGAGTAGGATGTGGAGGAGAGAATTAGAAAAGTGTTCAAAGAGAAAAAGTTTATATTGAGGCTTCTTGATTGCCTCTGGAGAAGGAAACTTAGTGGTTGGGAGACAAGAATAGGAGAGGAACCTGAATTTTGAACCATGTGAATGTATTACCTATTCCAAAAATATTTTGAAGTAAAAATTTTTTAAATAATCTGAATTTTGATGATAGGAGTTCACCTGACATATAACAAGAAGAAAAGGAGCAGAAGGAACTACTGGGGAAAAGGAAAAGAAGATAAATGTTTTTTTCTGACTCACCAAGTGATCTCGAAAGTAATAATAATCATACTACCAATAACAGTAATAATAACCGTTAACACTTACTGCAACATTTACTATGTGCCAGGCACTGTCCTCATTTAATCTTTATTGAAATGCCAGGAAAGCCTATAAGATGCATGCTATATCCATTTTAGATGAAGTAACTGAGGCACACAGTTACTGAGTTTTCACACCTAGTGTCAGAGCCACAATACCCAAGTACTCAAGTTAAAGAAAAGTCTTAAGTTCAGTAAGGACTATATATTTAGTATAAAAGATAGATTGTAGTTTCAACTTTAATACTAACCAGAGAACCTTGGACACTTAGCCATTTACCATTCCTGGGTTTGACTGTCTCAACTGAAAAAGAGGGCATGAAGTAGAGCTCCAAAATTCAACAAAATCTACTGCTAAGAGCTAGTCTGGGGAGGATAGGCAGGCATAAGCCATGCAGACCATGTGATAAGCTGGCTGGTGAATTTGTATGGGTGTGCTTATGTACACTAATAATTAAGAAAAATTTACTGTTGGTGACAAAACATTTTAGTCCAACCAAATTTTAAAATTTTATTATAGAGATTTCAATTTGCCATGGAATTTTTGCAGCAAAATTTTACCCACATTTATAGCAATTGTGAGATGATTGAATTATTCACCTTTGTAACACCCTCCTAAACTCATGTAACCTTATAATAAACATTACATACCCAGATAAGAAAATGTTTAGCATTTCCCAATTTATTTGGAGATAAAGCTAACTCAGCAGCGGCTTTAACTTTTTTGTAACTAGAGTATAAAAAAAAAATCACAGAGTTGTTTTTTTCTTTTTTTATCTTTATTATTGAAAGTATTACAAATGTCCCCCTTTTTCCCCAATGATCTCCTCCACCACGTACCCCTCCCCTCAAGCCTTCACTCATGGGTTACGCATATATGTGTACAAGTTCTTAGGTTAATCCCTCCCCACGCACCCACCCCCGCCTTCCCTCTGAGATTTGTCAGTCTGTTCCATGCTCCTATGACTCTGGATCTATTTTGTTCATCAGTTTATTTTGTTCATTAGATTCCACATATGAGTGAGATCAAGAGATACTTGTCTTTCTCTGACTGGCTTATTTTGCTTAGCAACATACTCTCCAGGTACCATCATGCTGTTTCATAGGGTAAGGGATCCTTCTTTTTTTACAGCTGCATAGTATTGTATGATGTAAATGTCCAAGAATATGCTTGGTATGACCTCAACCTAGAAGACAGAGCTTGCAGAGACTTGTTCTGTGTCCTAACATGTGGTCTATCTTTGAGAATGTCCCAGGTGCACTTGAGGAGAATGCATATTCTGCAGCTTTGGGGTTAAATGTTCTGTAAATATCAATTAAATCCATCTGATCTACTGTGTCATTTAGAATCAATATTTCCTTATTGATTTTTTGTCTGGAAGATCTAACCAGTGAAGTCATTGGGATGTTCAAGTCTCCTACTATGACTATATTGCTGTCAATCTCTCCTTTAAAATCCTGCAGAAGTTTTCGTTTAATGTGTGAGTCTTTTGTTCTGGCCTGGGTTTCTTGTAGACAGCACATACTTGGGTCTTGTTTTCTTATCCATTCAGCCACCCTATGTCCTTTGACTGGAGCATTTAATACATTTATATTTAAGGTTATTATTGATAGGTACTTATCTATTGCCATTTTATTTCTTTATGTCTGTTTCTCATTCGCTCTATTTCAACTTCTTATTACAGCAGTCCCTTTAACATTTCTGGCAATGATGGTTTGGTGGTTACAGATTCCTTTACCCTTTTTTGTCTGAAAAGCTCTCTATTTCACCATCTATTTTGAATGATAGCCTTGCTGGATAAAGTAGTCCTGGTTTCAGATCCTTGTTTTGCATTTCCTTGAATACTTCATACCATTCCCTTCTGAACTATAGAGTTTTCTGATGAGATATCAGCTGACAGCCTTATGGAAGTTCCTTTGTAAGTAACAGATTGCTTTTCTCTTGCTGCCTTTAAGACTCTCTTTGTCTTGAATTTTTGGCATTTTAATTATGATGTGTCTGATGTGTCTGGGTGTGGGCCTCTTTGGGTTCTTCCTGCTTGGGACTCTCTGTGCCTCCTGAACTTGTGTGACTTTTTCCTTGACCAGGTTAGGGAAGTTTTCTGCCATTATTTCCTCAAACAGGTTCTCTAAGCCTTGCTTACTTCTATATCTTCTAGTACTCCTATGATGCAAATACTATTAAGTTTCATGTTGTCCCACAGCTCTCTTAAGCTGTCCTCCTGTTTTTCAATTGTTTTTTCACATTTTGGTTCTCTGATTTTTTTCTACCTTGTCTTCTAATTCACTGATCTGATCCTCAGCTTCCCCTAATCTGCTGTTCATTACTTACAATTTTTTCTTCTATTATGTCATTCTTAATTTCCTTCATAGTTTCCATTTCTTTTCTCATGCTGTTGACCATCCTTCAGTATTCTGGACTCTATATCTGATAGACTGCTTTATCTATTTCATTTAGCTCTTCTTCTGAATAATTCTTTTGTTCTTTTATTTGGGGCTTTTTTGTCTCCCCATTTTGGCTGCCTGTTTGGATTTGTTTCTATGTAATAGGTAGATGTGCTAGGTAGGACTCCCAATCTTTTTGGAGGGTCTCTTGTGCAGGCCAATGTCAGACGCTGTTTGTGACTGGCCTTCTACCCTGAAGCTTTCCCCACTCTATAGCTTGTGGTTCCCTCTGCTGAGGCTGGGTTTGTTTGGACAGGACCAAGATGCTCACCAAGGTCTGCTTTTCCAATACCTGGGTCCAGAAGCAAATTAGGCAAAAAAAAAAANTGGGTTTGTTTGGACAGGACCAAGATGCTCACCAAGGTCTGCTTTTCCAAGACCTGGGTCCAGAAGCAAATTAGGCAAAAAAAAACCAAAAACCCACCACTAAAAAACAAACAAACATGGAGTTGTTCTTCATTATCTTACTGATAACATGACTTGAACTACAAGTACCCATATATAGAGGAAGTAAGCCACCTGTAATCTTTTAGGTATAATGCCAATGTCCTGAAATCTAACAATTCATATATGATTTTTCATTAACATATTTCAGATTCCCTAGACCAAAAAAATAAATCCATCTGAAAGGGGCAAAAAAAGTTCACTTCTCAATACTGTGAAAAATATGTGTGACAATAACGAAAGTAAGGATTAAATGTGAAGGTTCTATTGGCTAGAAACAGAACAGCTACTATGAATTTTTACCTGCCATTGATAATACTTAAAACATTCTAAACTTAGTATTTATAGCAAAGGTAAGCGATAGCTAATAGTTACATAACACAAGCTCTAAATAATAAATTCACCCTTAAAATCTAAATGCTTACGTTCAGATGAAAAGACAAACTAGAGAAAAACAACTATTTACAATATTAGTTTAAAATCTATGGTCCCCAGCGTGTATCTAGAAAAGCAAAGGCACGTTGTCTCTCCTCTCTGGAAGAACAGGAACCTGGAAAACCGTGAAGGCACCCGGGACACTGACACACAACCTAAAGAAAAACACACTTCCAGGCTGGCCAGTGGTTATCACTACAGGGCTATTATTCAGGTTTCTTCTCAGAGACAAAGAAACTGCTCCCCTCAAAAGCAAAACCAGCCAGTCCACAAAGCTTTTAACCACTTTCTGAAAGCAGGGCCTGTGCGAATTAAAAGCAATCAGAGTCATGTTCGACTTTATATTAGAAATGCAGTTCATGCCACCTTTTCACTTTGCAAAGACAAGTATATCAAAAACAGGCAGTCTCCCCCAACAGCAAGCTTGGCCTCCCGGCGCTCTCTAATTTTCTGGTGACCAGTGTATATCCCAGCCCCACCCCTCCACGGGAGAGCTCTGGCTTTAATAGGTACCAGGGCGCGCTGTGCAACAGATTCAACACAAAGCAGGGAATGAACGCCCGGCGGAGGGGCGGCCGGCAAAATAAAGCAGCAGGAGGACGGAAGAAGGAGGTCACGACTCCGGCCCCGAGGCTCCGCGGAGGGCACCGGCACCTCTACCTGGCCGCCGCGCCCTTGCCCAGAGCGACCGCGGAGGCGACGCGAAGTTCCTGGGCGGGCTGCGAGGCCGGGCGCGGCGGCGGAGGG